GAATTCAGATTATTTTTAGTTATTTAAAATATTTCCGTATTTATTTAAATATAATTTTTTTCATATTTCTTATTTATTAAGCCATATTATGTTTTAATATGACAGCACTGTGGCCTCACAGCAAGAAGGTCATTGGTTCGAGTCTCGGCCGGGTCAGTTGGTGTTTCTGTGTGGAGTTTGCATGTTCTCCCCGTGTTAGTGTGGGTTTCCTCCTGGGTGCTCCGGTTTCCCCCACTGTCCAAACACATGTGGTATAGGGGAATTGATAAACTAAATTGGCCGTAGTGTATGAGTGTGTATGGGTGTTTTCCAGTACTGGGTTGCGGTTAGAAGGGCATGCACTGTGTAAAACATATGCCTGAATAGTTGGCGGTTAATTCCACCGTGGCCACCCCTGATAATAAGGGACTAAGCAGACACAAATGCCAACTGACCCAGCCAGGACTCGAACCAGCAACCTTCTTACTGTGAGGCGATGCCTGAGCCACTGTGCCACTCCTTACAAACCTTATTTTGGCTACAAACATATGATCATTAATGCGAAGCCTTCTGTAATGAAGATCCTCAAGCTGACCCTTGACCTCTGACCTCCGCACTCACCCAGCAGGTTGCCTGAGAAGTTGACTGGTAAAACGATGCCGACGGACAGAACGCCCACCACCACCAGCAGACCGATGATGTGGCGCTGGAAAGACAGATAGTGGACGGCATCTTCACCACACTTCTCACGGATCTCCTCGTCTCTGTGGAGGAAAAAACACACTCATGAGAGCTGCTAGAGATCAATAAAAACTATATAGCATATAATAAATGACTAGAAAAAATAAAGCAAAACAACTAAGCTTGACATACAATGTGCAAATCGAACAGTTTAATTTAATATAATACTTAAAATTAAAAGCTTTCATAAAAAACGTACATAAAATTAAAATGATATAATTATAAGGGGTGTCTACACTGGTCTCACGGTTCAGTTTGGTTAAGATTATGTCATCGATTTGGTTCAGTTGGATATCTCAGTGCATCATGGTGTATTGATGATGCTTTTCATAAACAATCAGATATTCTAGTTCACAACACAATAATTCTTGTATTAAAATGTATAATTCATAAATATGTTTACATGTATTATTTCTAAAACTATTTTGTCCTTTAATTAGTGCTGTCAATCAATTAAAAAAAATTAACTAATTAATAGCACCTTCAAAAAAAAAATAATAATCGCGATTAATCGCATTTAAAATACTGAAACTTGTAATTTTGGCTATTCAAATGTAAAATTAATGTAAACGCAAGACAAAAACTATTTAAATTCAAAATATAATTGTTTATTAGAATTAAAATTCAAAATATAACTGTTTAATAGAATGTTTGTTTAACTTGCAACACAGATTTCTTAATGTAAACAACATACCCACAATAAACCATCAAGATCCTGGCTTGACAGCCATATTTATTACAGAAATTAAAACAACACAGGCATGTTAATGACATTTAAATTTCAAAACAATCAATGCCATTAAAGAAAACATTGATTTCCATGTTGGATTCTAAGTGGACTGCAAAAAAATGCCAAAATACAGGCATTGCAGATATGGAAAATGAAAAATTATAATAATAAACTTTAGAATACAAACTGGTGCACTCATTGTAATGTTTTATTGCTGTGAGTTGAGAACATTAATTATAAAGTAGAAACAATTTCGCTTAATCCTCCTTTACATTCATCCAGTTGCTAAGACTAGGAATATCACACAACGCGCTGCAGACGTTTTGGCCCCAACGGCCTTCCATACTGGAGCGACTCCCCTCAGATTCAACACGCATGATCACGTTCATCAAATCTGCTTAAACTAAGCGTCCTAAAGTATTACTGTATTTCACAAGGATTCTGACACAACAACGCGAAGCATACGCTTTCGTTGCGTTTAATGAGGAAACACGCTAAACTTGGAGGGCTCATGCTGAAAGGCAGAGTAATGCCCTGTCTTTGACAGCTCGCGACTTCATCAGAGACGTTCTGAGTACATTTACATAAGACACCAATACTCCGATTTTAACATGATTAAGATAATACTCTTATTAAAAGTCTACCGTGTGGCCTAAGCAGTGATTTTATTACCTTAAAGGAACACAGAGTCACGAAATGCGGAGGATTTTCTTTCTGTTCGCCATGCGGTATCAACTTACAACAGAAAGTTAAAAATGAAACACCCGAAATTGCATGAAACTTTGGAGAGCCTGGTGATGCGACTAATTGTTTTATACTGAAACTTGCCTTCAAAAAGTGCTTTCTTGGTCTTATCCACATTTCTTGCATGTTAAACACATGTCTACCACAACAGGAAGTAAAGAAAACCTCCAACTGCGTAAATTTTATTTTAACGCATTAATCATTTAAAATTAATCACATGCGTTAACGCGTTAATTTTGACAGCGCTACCTTTAATACAAGATATTTTTAAATGTATAAAACAAAACTCAAGCACATGCACAGAACAAAATGAGCATTTAGAGCACGTAAACTAATGTAAATATTATCCCGCTTGCTGTTTGAGTGCTGTCGCTCAACAGAAAAGGCCGTGATTGGCTCTAACAATCAGCGCAGCTCTGGTGCTGTTCAGCAAACAGTGACACTGACACTGATGTTAAACAGCGCGGTGATCAGCTGATCCATTATAGACGCCAACTCACTGGAGAAAACTCGCTCTGCGGACACGCTCGTGTCTGGATTCACAAGTAACGTTATTGTTGTAACAGCCGAGAGAGGTGATAAACTGTTACCTCACGACAGCTCCATTTATTTTCTTCACAGCTGGGTTCTGATGTACTTCCCTGTCAGTGAAAGACTGTCCAGCAAACTCACATGCCGTGAATTGTGCACAGTTATCTGCTTTAAGTAGTTGGAGCATTTTAATTACTCGTGGTGTCCTCCCTCGCCATAGTAAGCTACTGCCATACACAACATATATGTGATAAATAACGTCAGTACATTATAACCGATTATGAGTATTACTGAACCGATACCGAATTGTACACGACTGCATCGTAGTGCATCGAAGAAACAATTTGTTTTGACACTCCTTATATACTTATACATATACATATACATATATATATATATATACATACATACAAACATACATACATATATATATATATATATAAAATTTAAATAATACATACTAAAGAATAACTAAAATATGCAAATTAAATGAAATAAATGCTTACTAAAAAATATAAAAATGTAAATTTCAAATAACATTATTAAATAACACACTCACTTTCCTTTGGTTTAGTATCTTTAAATAACAACAATATTTAAATAAAATTAAAAAAACATTAAATGACTTAAATAACTTAACAAATAAATAAATAAATGATAGATAAATAAATAAATAAATGATAGATAAATAAATAAAAATAAATAGATATATAAATAAATAGAGATGTAAATAAATATAAATTAATAGATAGATAAATGAATAAATAGATAATTAAAAATGTAAATTAAAAAATTAAAAAAATTAAAAATTAAAAAATAAATAAATAGAAATAAATAAATAAAAATAATTAATTAATTAAAATAAATAAGTAAATAAAAATCTCAGATGGACTTAAAGGGCATATTCCAGATTGCAGGCTTTCAGGAGTGTTTGTTCAGGCATTGTTTAGAGTGTGAGTTCAGTGTGTTCTGCTCTGCTGTTATTAATATTAATAACTGCACATCAGAGCCAAACAGACACTTACTTTATTCTGAATATGGCCGTCAACCAGGAGCAGAAGCCCTGCGGACAAACACATCATACTGTCAGTGTGCGATGAGCACTGCAAACACACACGCACACACAAACACATACACACATGGTCAAACACACGATCTTCTTCTCTCACAAAGACACAAACTTTTTCCCTCACACACTTTTTCCACATACACACACAAACACACTCTCTCTCACACACAAATGCACATTCACTGTCTCCTTTTCTCTCACACACATACATACACACACACACACACACACACACACACACACACACACACACACACACACACACACACACAAACAAACTCTCTCTTTCTGTCTTACATACACACACTCTCACTTTCTCCACACAGACACTATCTCTCTCAAATGGTCCCTCTCAATCTCACTCTCTCTCTCTCACACATACACATAAACATACACATACACACACACACTGAGGATTAGAGGTGAACACAGGTAATACTGGAGATGCTGCATCCCTGCACTGATCTTTTAAGAGGCGTACAGCGGACAGATCACACTCATTTACATCTATATACTTTATATTAATATAATAAAAGCAAAATGCAATTCAAAATCAGAAATAAACGAGGAATAATTAAAAACAGGAATGACAAAATCTGAAAAGCTGCTAATTAATGGATATTTTTACAGTGCAATGCCAAATATCCTTCACTGGATGCAGGTTTCTCTTCAGTTTTCCTGTAAATGAGCTGTAAGGAACAGAAAGAGTTTTTCTGGAAGAGTCAGTTTCTCTCCTGAAGGTTTCTGGGGTCTTTGAAGGACTTTGAAGAAATGCTGCTTCATCATGACTGTGATATAAAGAGAAATGATAAAGGCCGCTGGTTTCTGTCCGGGTGTATATATTGTTGACGTGAGGTCAGTGTTGCATGGAAAAATCAATGGAGTCCAGAGGGATGGAGAACAGGGAGACGAGGATGGGAAATGAGTAATGAAGACATCCAGTCGGACACCAAGTGTCACGGTACGGTGAGGGGAAAAAAGGGGCGAGGACCCAAGTGCAGCGTTAAGTATTATTAATTTACAACAAAACAAAATAAAAGGCAAAAACAGCAAAACAAACTACCCCGAGGGGAAAAACATTAGCAGAACAAATAAACAAACCAAACTGGACTGGACAGGCTGGCAGGGATCACGACTGGAACAGATACACGACAACGTAACGTACAATGACATACAATGACGAACTGGCACAGGATTTATTAGATAATATAGATAATAATAATAATATAGGATTTATTAGATTTATTTTGTTATTAGATCATTATTATTTAATAATAATAATAATAATCGTATAATATTATTATTAATATTTTAATATTAATACAGTTATTGAACCATCTCTGTATCAAACAGATGCTGAGGCACACTAAGAGAGGGAGGGGCTATCCAGAGTGGGCAGGGCTATAAATAAAGTAGGGTGTGGTTAGACTGTGATTGACTGGTCTCTTACATTATCACGCTGTTCGAAGTCCACCGAGCTGGAGACGGAGGTGAGGCGTTCGTAACGGTCCGGCGTTTCCGAATGTAGAGCTGAAGCCACACTGCACACACAAGAACAGAATACAGTGAGAAATATAACACGCTGAGACTCTTCAGCAGGGTTAAACGGGACGGTTTTGGTTATTCTGCTTTGGTCAGATCAAGTTCACTCAGGCAAATGTAGGTCAGTCTCATCTCGGGGTTATTAAGTATTTACATGCTTGAGGAAGAGAGTTTATACACGTCTGTAATGCACACTTCTCTGCATCTGCTGAAAGAGATCAATCCACAGGAGAGATGGAGAGAAATCTAGTGCCAAAAACATGAATACACAACTAAAGACGGCAAGATATTCACTGCCTTTCATTTTTTAGAACTGTACATTCATTAACCTGATAACTACAGTGCATCTGGAAAGTGTTGATAGCGCTTCACTTTTCCACGTTTGTTTATGTTACAGTCTTATTTTTATTATTTCCTCAACATTCTACACACAATCCCCCATAATGACAATGTGAAAAAATTGTTGCAAATTTATTAAAAATAAAAGATCTGTGAAATCACATGAGCATCAGTATTGACAGTCTTTGGTGTGAAGCTCTACATTGAGCTCAGGTTCATTTTGTTTCCTCTGATCATTCTGGAGATGTTTCAGCAGCTTCATTGGAGTTCACCTGTGCTCAATTCAGCTGATTAGACATGATCTGCAAAGGCGTACACCTGTCCATATAAGGTTCCAGGGTTGACAGTGCATGTCAAAGCACAAACCAAGCATGAAGACAAAGGAATTGTCTGTAGATCTCCGAGACAGGATTGTCTTGAGGCACAAGGCTGGGGAAGGTAACAGAAACATTTCTGCTGCTCTGAAAGTTCAATGAGCACAGCGGCCTCCATCATCCGTAAGAGGAAGATGTGTGGAACCACCAGGACTCTTCCTAGAGCTGGCCGGCCATCTAAGCTGAGTGATCGGGCAAGAAGGGCCTTAGTCAGGGAGGTGATCAATAACCCGATGGTCACATTAGCCCCTTTCACACAGTGATACCGGTAAATATCTGGAAAATTTCCGGAACGACTTTACCGGTATGTTCAAAAAAGCGCTGTTCACACAGGCGAGGACGTTAGGGAAAGTTTCCGGAAAAGAGCATTCACACATCCATTCCAAAATACCGGTAAATTCTGACATCATTCACCACAAATGAGCTTTAAACGGCTGCGCTTGTGTTTGTAAACATTTGACTAAATTACAAACTCTGTGGATGATCAATATTGTGAACAACTTTCGCAGGATCACTTTCTCATGTCGAGATGTTCATAATATGTGCGTGTGCAGGCGCTCACAGGCTGTTTCAAAGGCACACGCAAAGCTTAAAGGTAAACAAACAACGGCTTATCATAAGCATCTCATCGATGATTATTTACACAGTTGGCATTAAGAAGAACATATAAACGTGATCTGACTAACTTCTAGCAGCTAAATGCGTCTGGAAAAATATTCAAAGGCTTTTATTCTCACAAACCGCGCGGACGTGAATGCGTCTGACTGTTGTGATTGGCTAAAGCAGACGTCTCACGTCAGCACGTTCTAGACGTGCACGCGCTTATTACGGGAATCTTCCTTCTGCATTCACACAGCGCAGCATTCCGGCAAATTGCCGGTAATGTTACAACTTCTCTTTCCGGAAAATAGCCAGAACGAATTTACCGGTATTTTCAAAAAGGGCCTGTTCACACATACAACCTTTTTGCCGGCAATTTTCCAGGAAAAGTCTGTATGTGTGAAATGAGCTTATGTCTGAGCTCCAGCGTTCCTCTGTGGAGAGAGGAGAACCTTACAGAAGGACAACCATCTGTGCAGCAATCCACCAATCAGGCATCTGAATGGTAGAGTGGCCAGACGGAAGACACTCCCTGCCTGGAGTTTGCCATCTGAAGGACTCTCAGACCATCAGAAACTAAACTCTCTGCTCTGATGAGACTCAAACTGAACTCTTTTGAGTGAACGCCAGGCGTTACGTTTGGAGAAAAGCAGGCAGCGCTCATCACCAGGCTTCAACCATCCCTACAGTGAAGCATGGTGGTGTTGGCATCATGCTGTGGGGATGTTTTTCAGCAGCAGGAACTGGAAGACTAGTCAGGATAGAGAGAAAGATGAATGCAGCAATGTACAGAGACATCCTGAATGAAGACCTGCTTCAGAGTGCTCTTGACCTCAGACTGGGGCGACGGTTCATCTTCCAGCAGGACAATGACCCAAAGCACACCGCCAAAATATCAATGGAGTGGCTTTACAACAACTCGGTGAATGTCCTTGAGTGGCCCAGCCAGAGCCCAGAGCTAAATCCTATTGAACATCTCTGGAGAGATCTGAAAATGGCTGTACACCGTCACTTCCCATCCAACCTGATAGAGCTTGAGAGCTACTGCAAAGAGGAACGGGCCAAAATTCCCGAAGACAGGTGTGCAGAGCTTGTGGCATCATATTCAAAGAGACTTGAGGCTGTAATCGCTGCCAAAGGTGCATCAACAGAGTATTGAGCAAAGGCTGTGAACACTGATGCTCTTTTTTCACATTGTCATTATGGGGGATTGTGTGTAGAATGTTGAGGAAGTAAATTAATTTAATCTATTTTGGAGGGCTGTAGCATAAAAAAAATGTGGAAAAAGTGAAGCGCTGTCAATACTTTCCAAATGCACTGTAAGTAATGCTGTCACAAGAAAATATATTACAAACCTGTGTAAAGTTGGACATATATAACAAATCTTACTTAATTTTTTTTAATCAGTTGAAGATGAAATTCACCCTCTTGTGAAATTTAAATTTTCAGAGATATTTATTTTTAATATAAAGATATATTAAAACATCAATCATTTCATTAACTAATTTCCAATAACTACATCTCTTTTGTCGTATTACCATGAAGACAGCGCATAATATTTTACAGAAATAACCACACAAAATAATACCTTTTTTCTCAATGTATCTCTCTCTCTCTATATATACACGCACGCACGCACGCACGCACGCACGCACGCACGCACACACACACACAGTTGAAGTCTGAATTATTCGCCCCCCTTTGAATTTTTTTCTTTTTTAATTATTTCCCAAATGATGTTTTACAAGGAAATTTCCCAGTATGTCTGATAATATTTTGTCTTCTGGAGAAAGTATTATTTGTTTTATTTCAGCTAGAATAAAAGCAACTTAAAAATTTTTTATGTAACATTTTAAGGTTAAAATTATTAGCCCCTTTAAGGTATATTTAACCATCCTTATACAACAACTTGCCTAATTACCCTAACCTGCCTAGTTAACCTAATTACCCCAGTTAAGCCTTTAAATGTCACTTTAAGCTGTATAGAAGTGTCTTGAAGAATATCTAGTCTAATATTTTGTGCTGTTATCATGGAAATGATAAAAGAAATCAGTTATTAGAGTTATTAAAACTGTTATAATTATAAATGTGCTGAAAAAATCTTCTTTGTTAAACAGAAATTTGGGTAAGAATATAGAGGGTGGCTAATAATTGAGAAGATCTGTAAAAGCGGATTGTGTCACATGACTTTATTAATGTGGTTGCTCCACTGCAGGTCTCAATGAGTGACAGATTCATTAAATCCACCAGGAATCCTCCTCTTTTTCTGCTTATCAGAAACTGCTGTGCCTCAAGTGAATGGCCAGAACAGAAGTTCAAAAGATAACCGGGCCAGAACCAACCAAGTATAAAAATAAATCCCGAACTGAATGCTTCATTGAGTGACACACTGAACTCAATCCAAGTCCATTTCTATTTTCTGCTCTTGTTTTGCCGACACATCAGCTGTCAATCAAATCAATCAATATGACTGCAGTGTTTGTGTGGCAGAAATCTGTGCTGATGCCATGAACACGCTCAAGCTAAATAAACACTGCTTACAGCTGATTCATACGGTATATAAAGGGATATTTTACCCAATACTTTCATAATCAATCACAATTCATTTTCAGCATGATATTCAGAACTACACCCACAAGAGTCTGTTTAATCTCGGTTGAACAAATGTTCATCATGCTTATTTCATAAAGTAAAAAACACATTAAAATAATAATAAAACATACATAAATAGATTATTTTAATCATATATTTGTCTAAGTAGTTCAGCTTTGCTTTTCAAGAGTGCTAAAACAATAGAAAATAAAAAGTCAAGAAAAAAAAAAAAACTATATAAAACAAATAGTTAAGACAAAAATAAAATTATAAAAGGGAATAAAATAAAGTGAATAATAAAAAAAACACACTAAAATTTACAATTTAAATTTAAGCATTAACTAAGGGGAAAACTTACATAAAATAAATAATATAAAATAAATAGTCAAGCAACAATCAATTAATAAAATATAAATAGATAGTAAAGACAAAATTAAATAATCAAACAATGAATAGAATTAAGTGAAATATTAAAAACAACACTAAAACATAAAATTTCATTAAATAAGAGGACATAATTACATCAAATAAATATTCTAGAATAAATAAATAGTCAAAGAATAATAAAAAAAACAACACAATAAAAGCAAAACAATTTAAAATTAAAAAGATAGTAAGGACAAAATAAAATAAAAATAGGAATAAAATTAAGTGACAAATTTAAAACTTAGTAAAATATAAAACAAAAAATATAAATAAATAATAAATATAAAATAAATACTATAAACTAGTCAAGACAAAATAAAATATCAAATAAATAAGTAAAATAAAAGTGAACAAAAAACAATAAAATATAAAATATCAGTAGGAAGAGAAAATTACATAAAATAAATATAATAAAATAAATAGTAAAAAAAAGGTAATAAAACAATATAATAAAATGAATATAAAATAAATTGTAAAGACAAAATAAAATAATAAGAAGAATAAAATTAAGTGACAAATTAAAAACCCAGTAAAATATAAAACAGCATTATATAAGAGGGAAAATTACATAAAATAAATAATATAAACTATATAGTCAAAATAAAATAATAAAAATATATAATAGAATATATATAAAATAAATAGTCAAGACAAAATAAAATATAAAAATAAAAAATAAAAGTGAAAAAAAACAATAAAATATAAAATAGCATTAAGACAAATTTACATAAAATAAATATAATAAAATAAATAGTAAAACTAAGATAAAATAATAACATAAAATCAATATAAAATAGATAGTCAAGAAAAAAATAAAATAATGAGAAGAATAAAAATTTAGTGACAAATTAAAAACCCAGTAAAATATAAAGCAGCATAACATAAGAGGGAAAATAACATAAAATAAATAGTATAAACTAAATAGTCAACAAAATAAAATAATAACATTTAAATAAAATATTGTTGAAAAAAAAACAATAAAATATAAAATATAATATATAATATATATATATATATATATATATATATATATATATATATATATATATATAAATAATATATATATATATATATATATATATAATATAAATATAAATAATAGATAATATAAAATATATTATAAGATAATATAAAATAAATGGATAAACAAGATGAGACAAAATAACATCATAGCATATAAATTCGGGTAAAATACACAAAACTAATAATATAAAATAAATAAATAGTCAAGACAAAGTAAAATAATAAAAATGTAAAAAAAATAAACAGATGATCAAGACAAAAAAATAAATAAATAGATGGCCAAAACAAAAATTAAACAAATAGATGGTCAAGACAAAAAAATAAATTAATGAATAAAAATAAAAATATAATAAGCAATAAAGAAGGAAAATAAATAAACTAAACAAAAAGATAAAGATGGGAAAATATGTAATAAATAACTACATGAAATTCCATAAAATAATTTAAATAAAATATTCAGAATATTACGATATTATAATCAAATAAATTGTTAGCTATTCATGTAATTAATGAACAAACTGATTATCTATTTGTCAACAAACAGTTAATCTGCGACTCATCTTCAGTTTGGAACATCATGAGATCATCATTTAGTATGAAACGTAAACCTTTAGGTGCATTATTCCCTTAAACCCACTGAGCTAACCTGATTTGGATCATTGGGAAAACACCAGGAATAAAACAAGGACACGTCATCCTCTAAAAAAAGTGTTTATGAGCTCCAATCCAGCTCTGAAAAAAAACACTACACACTGAAAAAATCATTCATTGGATTAAGTCAATTTTAAATTCTGCCCATGTAAATTGTTTGCAACCACTTACCTTAAAAAAAAAAAAGTAAATCCAATGAATCATTTTTCAGTGCATGAGAAGAAACACTAGATTCACAAGGGCAGGACCACTCACAATACTGAGGGTTTTGTCTGGATCCAACAGGTCAGAAACACACACTACATCTGCTTTACCTGCGCACTGGCTCATAGTTATTCCTCTCCTTTCTCGTACTGTCGTCGCAAACACACACACACACGTCACAAAAACAAACACCAAGGGCAGGCGGTTATTATTGACACTCATGTGTTAGAGGCCCTTTGAGAAGCCAAATTTACATGAGTGAGTCTAATATCACACAAGCACACACACACACACTTATTAGTGGTGTAACGGATCAAAAAATCTCACGGTTCGGATCACACTACGATTTTTGAGTCACGGATCAGACCATTATTCTGTTTAGCTCTTACGTTGGTGTTTGATTCAATTAAACCATCAGTTAAAGTCTTGACCTTCTCTCGGGGAGCGTGCTACAAAAATAAAGCATGGTGGGATATTATATTATTATATTTATAAGAAAGCCTAAAAACTCTCATACATGATTTGTTTTAAATGATGTGGGAGGTGATCTCTCTGCGATCATTACAAATTTAGGGTTATTGTACAACAATCAAAACAAAAAAAAGGGTATTAATCCATAGGGGTGTAACGATTTATTGTTGTACGATTTATTGCGATGCAAAAATGTCTCGATATGCATCGTGGCGTTATGACGATTTCATTACGATACGACGTCCGTTTTCTCTTATTAGTTGAGCTGTTTGCATGTGAGCTACGTTCCACCTGCTGTCGCACGTGAGTTCAGATTGCAGCAGCAGTAATGTTAGCAGACCAAGATGAGTGGAGCTGAACTAGAGGATGGCCCATCCTCTCAAAATCAGACGTCTGGCAACATTTCGGTTGTACAGTCATTGCTTTAGACTCGTCCGCTTTTTGACACGCATACTGGGTCAAACATCCTAAGTTTTAAAGTCTTCACAGTGATTTACATACTTTGCACAGCGACAGGGATGCCTCCTAATGGTGTTGAAAGAGTCGCATACTGTATTTATAAGGTACATATCACCCTAAAATATCATTCGGTCTTCATATAATGATGTATTTGCGGCCGCAAAATCACACATGACGTGAGCTGACCGTGAGCTGTTACTACAGAGGGCGGACTATGATAGACGTGCGCGTATGGCAAGCCGTTTTAGCATTTAAACCTTTGTTCTGACTATCCATAAATATATTTTGAGATATCTCTAATTATATTTTGACTAGTCATAATTATAATTCGACTAGTCAGAATGACAATTAGAGATATCTGCAATTACAATTGTACTAGTACGAAATCAGATTGGAGATATCTGCAAATATATTATGACTTGTCATATTCCTCCATTGACTTCCATTGAAAAATATTTGCAGATATCTCTAAATGAGTTTTGACTAGTCACAATTGTAATTAGAGATATCTCTGAATGAATTTAATTAAATATGAATTAAATACCTGGAAATGTGGACTTTTTTTTTGCACACACAAAAAACACAAGTGACCAAGCAAAGCCTTAAGCTCTTACTGTTAAATTCAATTGAATAGAAAGCTTATTTTTTTGCACCTTTACTTAAATTGTTCCTTAATTTTGTCTTTGTCATTTCAATAATATTTTTAAGAAGTTTTTAAATTGTTTTATTTTCCAGAGACAGGCCTGTTTAATTTATTTTCTTAAAGAAGGTTCAGTTTAACAAGTTGAAACTAAAGAAATACATAAAAAATAGTTTACTTGGTAAAATTTGCATTTCAGTTTAATTTTCAATTTTTATTCCAAATATCGTGATACATATCGAATCGTGAACATTATATCGTGATACACATCGTATCGTGAGCTGAGTGTATTGTTACACCCCTATTAATCCATGGGTTACATGCATTCTGAATCGTGGGTTATGATCCGTTACACCCCTAACATTAATACATGGTGAGCAATCAGAGAAAACACACACACACTTCTCTAAAGCGACACGTGGCACCGTAGTGTGTTAGAGAAGGTCAGAAAAAGTGAGGAACCTCAGGAATTATTAATCCAGACACACAAAACACACACTATAACATAAGAAGAAGTGAGTAGTTAGTCGTTCAGTGAGCAGAATAAAGCGGAGGATCAATAAGTCAACATACTACTCCCGCTCCTCCAGACCTCTGAATCTTCTCTTCTGTCTTGGGAAGGAAAGAATCAAAAAACATAACATAAGAGGAAGGAAAAAATGAGCTTAAAGCCATTGAAATCAATAAATCTCTGAAGAATGCGGCTGTCAGATCTTCAGCTGTGGGAAACTAAGAGTGGAGTGGAGAAAAGCATCACTGTATCTGAGGACTCGCTGTACTCTGAATGCATTATAATAACGACAACCGAAATGCCTTTTGCAAGACGATAAGAAATGCAAGAAAGATATAGGCTTATATAAAATAATTTATACCACACTTCTGTCTGGTTTTTGAATCTGATTGGCTGATAGTGTGCGATATTTTGCCAGTAACATCACACAAAGGCCTCTTCACCCTTCACTGTGTATTACTCCGCCCACACACAGCCAGCAACAAGCAGAGACGCTACAGTTTGACAAATATTACTGCTGTTAGACAACATAATGTACATTTGAGGCTTTTTTTAGTCGAGAATACAGTTGTTTAGATTGCAACTATGCAGTTTATTTGTAAAAAAAAAATAGTGCCTATTTTAAAATATTTACAATTTCTGAGAGAGCTCGTCGGCAGCCTAAGGAGGTTGACGTTGTCTATCCACAAGATGGTGGAAGGATTGCATAATAAGCCCTTGTTTAGGGTGTTTCCTTGAGCGTGAATAAGAAGCTGAAAAACGGAAGTGACGGTTTTTAAGGTGGAGCGGATAGAGTTAATAAGAAACTGCGAATAAGAAGCTGGATCCAGCTAAGCCAACACCTCTCACCAGTATTGATATACAGCCATATCGCAGTGCTACTCATGTGATATTGCTCACGTAAATAATAAAACGAAAAGACAATAAAAGATAATTGACTAATTAGTGGTGCGCCATTATCTGCATTAATGTGCTTTTATCGGGCGATTTAAAAACAATTTCGTCGTTTATCTATTCTCAATGTTGGGTTGAGAGCTGGGTCTATTCTACGCAAGCTAAGTTTATTTAGTTTTAGTTTTAGCGTGGATGTATACCTGACCGGTGAGCCGTCTGACAAACAGTGCCCTTCTGAATCAAATCAGCAGGATGCCCTTCTGGATCTTTCACTTACTCTGAAGACACTCCTGACTATACTTACATGGACATCTGTAATCTAGTTATTTGCCTTAATAAACAATAATATAATTAAAATGTTTACGTGAAGTGCTTTCATGTAAGAGTTTCCTATAATTTTGGCTGACTTTAACTGCAGTTCGACAGTTTCACTTTCACTCATGAACATTTCATTCATGCCCCCGTGACAAACTGGGCTATTAGACGCACATAAGGAGTAAGGACTGGTGAGAGTGGTATGGAATTTAATAACGCACGGCGAATGGAAAGAAAAAAACTTCCAAATTTGGCAATGTGTGTGTGTGTGTGTGTGTGTGTGTGTGTTTGTGCGGTCCTTTACTGACAGATGCCAAAACAGCACCAAATCCAGAATTTTGTAATGATCCAACAGTAAAGACTACGGTAGACAGCTGCTATATAGCCACACTTTAGATTTCTGGCATGTGTAAATGACTCGGGACATTTGTTTAATATGCACAGCTGTCTAAAACGTCTCTCTAACAGCACATTACAGCTGCGTCTTCACTTCAAGAGTTTAAAAGTGGCATGTAAATCTATTCTCTATGAAGCCTAGAGTCACGAGAGAGTAAACTGGAGCCTCGTGTTTAATGTACAGTCTATGAGGAAATACAGAATCAGCCATTTAACATTCCTCTGACTGTGTGTCTCTAATTACAGACGGATGACGTGTGGTCAGCAAATGCTGCAATCTACAAACCACCACAACATATACATGTCAGAGTGGAGAAAGAAGGAACAAAGAAACGAAAAAAGGGGGAGGAAGGAAAGGAAAAGAAAAGAATGAAGAACAGAGAATGGAAGGAATGAAAAAGAAGGAAAGAATGAAGGTAAAGGAAAGGAAGGCAGGAAAATAAACAAATGAAGGAAAGAAAAAAATGAAGGAAAAGAAAGAAATTACACAGCAAATTCATCTGAGTTAAATTCTCGGGGTTGAAGCATTTCAGAGTAAAGTGTTGACGTTAAAGAGTTAGATTTTGATAAATGAATATAATAAGAGTTAGAATTGATTTTATTCAGTGCGAAATCAAGGAGTTATCTTTTCAACACTTGGTGGTGTTATTTCCAACATCCGGGAATTCATGCAGCCCCAGTCACTGAAGAATTTTCCAGACGCCATTTTCCATCTGAGGTTTAGAACAGCAACTGGTGAGTCAAACTACCTAAATGTTGGTATTTTACTGACTTTCTTTAAGGAAATACAGTTGTAAACATATTGTTAAGTTAATAACTTTAGAATGGAGTGACAATTTTAATCTTCTGCGGTTCATTCATGGTTGTTTGTGTATCTAGCTTAACTGTATTACTATTCACTTCTTTTCAAGAATGTTTTTATATATGCTCACGCATACATAGTGCATAAAAATATCAAATGTACATGTTCAACACATTTCTGTCACGCTTAATGCCATTGTGTGCGTTGTTACCCATCTGTAAAATAAAATCGACACTTCTCCTTTAATTCGAAGCAAACTAGCGAGGGAATCCCCGGAGCAGCCTAGCCTAAGTTACTCTGCCCGGATGCTAACGGCAACACAGGACGGTTTCCATACGCTCTGGAGAGTTTCTAAAACATATCTGGTGAGTAAATGAACATATGCTTACTTGTAAAAGGCTTCCTGACTAAAACATGATTGTTTGTTATTCGTGTACGTTAATTTGGTTATTTTAAACACCGCGGCCCTTTTAAACTGGTTCATTCGTGGCCGTCCATATACCGTTAAGTTAGTTCATAGACTCGCGTGATAACGTACGCTTGAATTATATTAAGCGTTGACAACCATTAAAGTCGGAATGTTAACATTAATGTCTTTAAATGACCGCGTTTGCACTTTCTCAGACATTTAAGGTTACAGAAGTCTCCCGGAAGTTGCGGGACTAACGTTAACGTTATCCCGCAAATGCACAGAGACTCCCAGATGCCCAAGTAGATGCCCGCAAATGAATGATAATCTCCCGCCCGGTCATTAAACACTTTGCACACCCCTCTCCACCGCATCCCTCCCAGCTCTTCAGGTACGTCGCGCGCGCGTCACCCCCACCGCTCTTCAGGTACGTCGCGCGCAACTCATCTCATTGCTCTTCAGGTTCTCATCTCTCCCGCTACCTCCCGCAAATCAACTCTGTATCCCCCGAAAATTACTTTTCCCAACTCGGGATGTCTGACGTTAGTAAGTTAGGCTATTTCTGTAGTCAGGAACATCTTAGTCAAGCTTTTTCTCTTGCATGATATTGTGCTTAAAACTATAGGCTAAACTTAGCATGTACTGTACACAACATTTCCTTTTTATTAAAGACAATTTAGTGCGTTGTAAACAGCCACCTGTCTGTAAAATTAATCAACTGATTCATATTTGAGCAGCCTAATGTTGATAAAGGTTTGATTTGTAGATTTATTATCCATAATCAACATCTGAATCAAAAGATATCTGAAAAAGTGTGAGGCATACTTTGTGATGTTCATCTCTCTTTTTTATCTGAAGGTTATGCATATGTGTTAAATACTAATTTTTTGTTGTTTTTTAACAGCCACAGTTCTCTATATAATAACACAAGACCCTGTGACGGTGGCTGATTAGACACGGATGGTGTATTTCCATAGTTGGTGGAATGACCAAGCACACCTTCTTGGTCATATGTGGTGATAATAATGAAGGTATATTTGATAAAGTTCTGTATTTGTTTCACAAGCTGAGAGGGTATTAGAGCATTAAAGAATAACGAATGACATGAAGGTGATAAGTTTTGTATTGTGGGTGAACTGTTACTTAAATAATGTTTTGCTCTTTGCTTTGCACTTTTCCTCTTCTGCTTATCCTAATATTTTAGATTATATTTGGACCTGAAACATCTGCTAGACTCCAGGAAAGGTGGCGTCAATACTGGACCTGAAAGGGCCTAAGAAGTTGAATCTGGTAAAGAAACATGCACGCACGCACACGCTTACAGAAAACTGTTGTTTATGAAGTTTATGAATATTTTTTACACTGTGGCCAATATTTTGTGGAAGTCAGCATCACTAAATGATATAAAAGATTTTAAGCTCCTCTAAATTTTGCTCCAAGTGTTGTGTTAAATTCAGGATTCTGGACAGACAGCTGCCTGTTTTTCCAGTTCTAGTCATAGTGGTTAACCTAATTGTTTTTGGAGATCCAACAGTGATATATGTGTTTTTTCTACTTTTCCATATCCTGTCACCTCAACCAGCTGGGAGAGTCAAGTTGTGGATCATCATGTAGATTTTCAAAAGGTGAGTTTAGATTTCTTGAATGTTTTATTTACTTTAAATGTTCTTTTAAATATATCATAGAATTTGATTGCAATTTGTTTTCAAACATTTTTCTTAGTCATGCTGGAGTCTTGAAGAGTTCTTAGATGAGCTTCACCCTATATCCGTGCATCAGGAACCACCAGACGAGCGATCAGCAGCTACTACATCGTCATGGATAAAAAGGTCATCCTGTGGCTGGGAAGCACTTCATTCACAGGACATGCTTGATGAGATTTCCTAGCTCCAGTTTGTTTTCACACAAGTTTACAGCATTTATACCTTCATTTAAACTGCTGTGTTTGATATGGAGGACCAAGGAAACACCCGAAGTGAAAGATTTGCACGCCAAGTTGTTTAAAATGTAATTTCACAAGAAAACTATGAGTTCAGAAGTAAACTATGAGTGACGCTATATTGAACTTTCAAATTGCTCTGATAACACATCAAGTTTGGACCAAAGGACTGAAACAGCCTTTTTGAGCACTGGTCATACATATTTTGTTGATACTATCTGTACTAATAAAACATTTAAAGCATATTTGACATTGTTGCATTTTAAAAACTGAATGAATTGTTGAAGTGGTGAATGTTTTCAAATAAAATGTTTTTTATTTTGTAATTTACAGTCTATTTGACCTTTTTACCATATTTACACTCAAGAGAGTTGAATAAAATAACAATATATTACACCAGGCGGTGTTAAATATAGTTACATTTTTTAACTCTGCCCTGAGTTAAAATTAACCCTTACTTCGGTGTCAATGTGCCAACCCTTTTGAAAGTGTTGATTTAACTCTGTTTTGAGTGGACCCCATGAGACACTTTCAAAGTGTTGAAATTAACACCCATAGAGTTGTTTTGGGTCCCCATATTTTGCTGTGTAGGGAAAACAGAAGAAGGAATGAAAAGAAAAGGAACAAAGAGAAGAAGAAAGAAAGAACGAAGGAAGGAAATGAGAAAGAAAGGAAAAGAAAGGAATCAAGAACAACGAGAATGGAAGGAATAAAAAAAAGAAGGAAGGGAAGAAGGAAGGAAGGAAGGAAGGAAGCAAGGAAGGGGAAGGAAGGAAGAACATAAGGAAAATAAACAAATGAAGGAAATAAGGAATAAAGAAAAAAGAAAGGAATGAGGGAAAACAGAAAGGAATGATTGAAAAAAGAAAAGGAACAAAGAAAAGACGAAAGAAAGGAGGAAGGAAAGGAGAAAGAAAGGAAAAGAAAGAAAGGGAAGAAGGTAGAGAATGAAAGGCATAAAAAAGAAAGAAAGAAGCAAAAGAAAGGAAGGGCAAGGAAGAAAGGAAGTAATGAAGGAAGGACGAGGAAGGAAGGAAAAGGAAAGAAGGAAGGGAAAAGAAAGGAAGGAAGGGAAAAGAAGAAAGGAAGAAGTGAAAAGTGGAAAGGAAGGAAGGAAAAGAAAACAAGCAAGGAAAATAAAGGGATAGAAAGGTAGGAATTAAGGAGGGAAGAAATAAGAATGGAAGGCAGGAAGACAAGAAAAGAAGGAAGGAAAAGAAAGAAAGAAAGAAAGGAAGGAAAAGGAAGTAGAGAAGGAAGGAAAGAATGAAACGAAAAGAAAAGAAAATTAAGAAAATAAAGGAAGAACGGAAGGAAGAAAAAGAAAAAGAAAGAAAAAATGAAGGAAAAGGAAGAAGAAAAAGAAGGAAGGAAAACAAATAAAGAAAAAGAAAGGAAAGAAGAAAGGAAGAAAGAGAGGAAAGAAAGAAAGAAAGAAAGAAAGAAAGAAAGAAAGAAAGAAAGAAAGAAAGAAAGAAAAGGAAAAGAAGGTAGGAATGAAAGAGGAAATGAAGGAAGGAAATGAAATAAAAGAAAAAATAAAAGAAACAATAAAAGAGGAAGGAAGGAAAAGAAAGCAAGAAATAAAGGAGCCAGATATGCTAAATGAATGTCCAGTCAAGCGTGAGACTCCAATAGGAAGCTCATCACTGCTCTATTTCCTGTGTTCACGTTTAACAAGAAAACCAGCATTACTGCAGTCTTCTGAAGCAAGATAACACTGAACATCATCATGTCTGTTAACACCACAAGAGCGTCTGTGCAGAGGTGACAAGCAAATGCACATTTCACAACTAAATCCTATTTCCTGTCATTCATTTGTAAACTGTAGGCGAGTCCCGAAATATGAGGTCAAAATGTGCATGCTGCTGTATGTTAAGAAGCACAATGTTTGCAAATACATAACATAAAATAAGCATTTTGAATTTAGAAAAGTCCCGATTAAACCGTAGCTCTTACGTGGCACTTATGTAACCGAGCCCAAAAAAAGAAAACGCCGGGGGCTCGGTCTATTTCCAGCAACATTAATAAGCAGCAGCAAATAATACATGATCGATTCAGTGGAAATGATACACAGGAACATTTCTGGCTCCAGAGGGAGAAGAAAAGCACATCACTAAACAGAAGAAGCAGCAAGAGGAGGACGAGCAAGATCAAAAAATAGAAACACACAGCAGTGATGTGCACCGACAGCAACAGAGACAACAAAACATAATCAAACACTCTTTTATGAAGCAGATGGTGTGTGTGTCCGTGTGCAGATGTGTGTGTGTGGCTTTAATGCATTTGCATGCATGCCAAAAAAATACCAGCAAGTTTAGTTACACCCATGATCCCATCATCATGAGACACTCCTGAAAGAATCATTTGAGGCTGATGATGATGATTGTAATTCATTCAGCGCACACACGCAAATTCAATGTTCAGGCAAGTGTTTACTTCTATTAATTTGCATAACGTCTTGAGACAGTCATCAAACTTAATGAAACTCCGCATTTTAGGACTTCATTATAATTTGAAGATGTGCACCATTTTTTCCCAAAATCCGTCCATAGGGGGCGCTATAGTTAGAAAGCTTGATAAATTTCTGAACTTTGGAGCTTTAATGATAAATGCAAGTTCGGGCTGGGCAATTAGGGAAAATATCTAATTGGGATTTTTTTGGACAGATATTGGGATTGGGATTACACTTAATATTAATAAATACATATATAATAAAAATAAAATAAATGTATTATTATATAAAAAAAAAAAACATAAAAAATTGACTTGTTAAAAAAGTCATGCTCAATTCATTACTGGTGATATTCACATGTGGTTTCCGAAATATTGATAAAATTTACAGTTTTTAATTTTAGGACTTCTCAGTTTTTTTTTTTCTGTTTTTGATAATTGATTACAAAGCCATAAACAAACTTAAATTCAAATTTAATTCAAGACCTTTCAAGTACCGTCATTTGCTTTAAATATTTTGCAGGTTTTGAATACATATGTCTTAAATTGAAGTAATTCTAAGAGGCTTGGGAACCCTGAATATAAATATATACACTGATTGTGTGTATGGATACAGCTGAAGTCAGAGTTACAAGCCCCCTTTTGATTTTTGTTTCTTTTTTAAATATTTCCCAAATTATTTTTAACAGAGCAAGGAAATTTTCACAGTATGTCTGATAATATTTTTTCTTCTGGAAAAAGTCTTATCTGTTTTATTACGGCTAGAATAAAATCAGTTATTAATTTTTTTAAAAACTCTTTTGGGACAAAAAAATAATTAGCCCCTTTCAGCTATTTTTTTTCGACAGTCTACAGAACAAACCATCATTATACAATAACTTGCCTAATTACCCTAACCTGCCTAATTACCCTAATTAACCTAGTTAAGCCTTGAAATGTCACTTTAAGCTGTATAGAAGTGTCTTGATATCTAGGCTACTATTATTCACTGTCATCAAGACAAAGATAAAATAAATCAGTTATTAGAGATGAGTTATTAAAATTAATATGTTTAAAAATGTTTTGAAAAAAATCTGCTCTCCCTTAAACAGAAGTTGGGGAAAAAAAATAAACAGGGAGCAAATAATTCTGACTTCATCTGTATATACCCACAGACTCCTTCTATAAAGACCTTGTGAAAATGCATGTATAAAAACAGCTGTAAATGGCACTCTGTCTGCCTCATCTCTTTATTCATATCTGCCAGAAACCTGCCGATTTACAAGATTGGCATTCACTTAATGCAAATCATAAATGTTCTTCTCTTTCTGCTCTCTTTGACCTACTTTTTTCAAAGAAATACTCCCACATGCATGTTCCTTTACACCACACATATACATCATCTCCAGAGAATATATAGAGGAATTGAAGGAAGTACACGGCATTTACAGTTTGCGATTCCTTATCTAAGAGCGAAGAAACTATTCTCTTCAACATCAAAATCACAACCATCAACCAAACCTAGTCTAAAAAAATTGACATGTCCTTACCTGTCAGCATCGGTCACTAAAGCCAGACGGCCGTAATCCCACGCCACTTTCCGCAAGATGGAGAAGACAAAAAGAAGAACCTGAAATGAAGAGAAGATGAGTATATCTGTCAAACTAGGAGTAACAAAGGAGATCAGTTTTGACCACTAGAGGGTGTGTCTTCACAACAAACAAAGGCGAATTTGGTAACACTAAAAGAATGGTCCGTTAGTTAATGTATTTACTAACATGAACAAACACATTGATAACACATTTATTACGGTATTTAATCATCTTCACTAATGTTCATGGTATTTAAGTTAAATAAAGTTAGTTCATGTTAACTCATGGTGCATTGACTAATGTTAACTTTGGATTTTAATAATGCATTAGTGAATGCTAAACTATGATTAATAAATGCTGGACAAGATTATTCAAACTTAGATTTATTTATTTAATTATGTTATTTATTCTCACTATATTAGCTAAACGTGATATTTTATTCATCTTGTTGTCTATATCTAACAACATATTCCCCGACTTTGGTCATTGTAATCAATGTTCTCAGGTAACGTGTTTTGGCTGAGCGTGAAGATAAGTTAATAATTAATGCAACCACGTACATTCTGTATATTGACTGATCGCTTGCCTTTATTCCCTATAATGTATAAACTTATTGTATGTTATACTTTTATAATGGCCATTATTGATTATTAAAACTGATATTCAGCAAAAGAGAGGGTGTGTTTCGTATTTTCACTGAAATTGAAAGGAGGCAGTTGTTATCGGCTCCGTTTTGTTATAAATATCCACACTGTTAAGACAATGCTCATATATGCAGCACGACGCCTCAACATTTCTGCTGTCTGTTAAGTTGCTAATATTAAAATGAAAATAGGCAGTTCCTTAAATCATGTTTACATTTTATTGGTGATAAAGTGAAACAACATAGCCAAGGTGATGTGAATGAAGTTATAAAGTACACTGTTCCCTTTGAAGATTTACCCGTGTCCTCGGTAGTCTGTTTTCCGTATCAAACTGAGGAGGGGGAGACTACAGCTTTGATCAAACTTGCGAAGTCTCAACTTACACGAGAAGAGGATGCAGGACTGAACTGTAACGTTAGGCTACTTGATATTGAGGAAAAGCCCCAATCAGAGAGGCGAATGTCGGCAGCCCCATTTCCGTTTTCAGATGTCTCCGTTTTCCCCCATCCACACTGAGACGGAGCAGCAGCGTTTTAGAATGAAAACAGCCTCTTCAGCGTTTCCAAAACGCTCCGTTTTTGGCACTCAAAATCCAGCGTAGTGTGGACGGATGGCGTAACCATAGCAAAACTTTTGCGTTTTAAAACTAAAACGCATTAGTGTAGACGGGGCCTCATTCATCCTCACTATACTCAAGGTCTTAAAATAACAGCAAAGATAAAAAACAGCATCTTGTCGGCGCCAGTGGTGTAGTGGTTAGGGCGCCGACACATGCACTCCAGTGCTTACGGCGACCCGAGTTCGATTCCGCCTCGTGGTCCTATGCCGATCCTTCCCCTTTCTATGCTCCCCATGCTTTCCTGTGAATTCTTTCTACTTTTCTATCCAATAAAGGTGAAAACCCCGAAAAAATAATAATAAAAAAAAACAGCATCTTAACTAGTCTTTCGTGAAATGGAGTTGCGGTTTAATGTATAGTAAATCGCACTCATTCATAGCGTCGCTGCGCAAAGACAACGTTATGAATGCATGCTGCACCTCCGACTGTACAGTGTGTTTTCTTTTTCTTATAATGCACAGAGTTTTGCCATTTGCCATTCACTCAAACAGGCTCATCCAGTTCATCAAACTCAGTCTTTAAAACTCTTAATCGGAAGCGGAATAAAACAGTCTCTTCATATAAGCCGGTGTATCAGAGCAATAGCTGCTATATTAAAAACATGAGTCGATTCACTCCTTAATTGGTTCTCAGGACATATCGGCTTTTGCTGTCAAAGTGTTATTTTTGAGTGCGCTGATGCTGCGATTCAGATGATTTGAAGCAAGAATATTTGTTGAACATGTACTACATGCCTAAAGCATTCACTCAATGTCATTAGCTCATTTTTAGCGGAAGTGGCGTTTAGAGGCTTTTGCATCTAAACTCATCATACATATTATTTCTCTGGATTGAACATTAATCAAAACATTCAATATAATGTATATATATATAAATAAGCAAAATACTTTTAAAGAAGCTTTTTTAATGATATTCAAATAAAAAATCTTACATATTGTGCTTTTAAAGCAATGTGTCTTGGGACAAGCATATTGCTATGGTATGAAACTGTAGTTTAGATTGAGTACTTTTGCACTGAATCTATGTGTATAAATCAGTAATGTAGATTTTGCTTCTGGTGTGATCTGGAGCTTTTAAATAGTGTTTAAAGTGACATAAGCAGAGATGCAGATCATACAGCCTGCAGTTTACAGTGATCAGCAGAAATTTAGGTCAAGAAGGCATCCAAAGCGCTGAGAGTTTAAGTCGAGCTGACACAGATAGTAGGTTAAACAACTGCCGTTACGCAGCTCTGACAGACTCGCCTGCACATTTATAATGCAAGGTCACTTATATTTTCCTTCCAAACAGATGAGTGAATAAAACTCTGCAAAGACAACTAGAAAAGTGGGTCAATCTATTTGTGACAGTCAACATCCAGACATTCTGCTGCCTCTTTTAAGCACAGCATTGCAATGACATGATCGAATGGGAACGCAAATGTCTAAGCGGTGTTTAAAAGAATCCACTGTAAATAATGCAAGTGCAATAATGATTATAAATAATGATCATTTGCATTAAACCAAAATGAAATTATAGAATTTTCGTCTTTTCACAAATTGCCAATTTTCAGCACTAGACAAAGAATATAAGAGGGAAAAAAAACGAAAACAAAAAAGTGGTCAGGTCATATTTTACTAAACTAAAATAAAATACAAAGAAATCAAGATAAAATAAATTGAAATAAAAAAAATTATAATAAAATCAAATAAAATGTAAATAAATTAATTTAAATTTAAATTAAATTTAAAATTAACTTAAAAAATCTAAATAAAATTAAATTAAAATTTATTAAATAAAAAAATTAAAATACATTAAATTAAAATAAATGTAAAATATTTTTTTAATAAAATTTAAATAAATATAAAATAAATTTAAGTCAAATAAAACAGAATAAAATAATCAAAATAAATAAAATAAAAAATAAATTAAATTAAATTTAAATAAAATTAAACAAATACAATTTAAATAAATTAAATAAAATAAAATGAAATTTAAATCAGGTTAAGTTAAAATAAATTAAATTAAATAATAACAATAAAATAAAACAAAAATAAATTAAAATAAAATAAATGTAAATAAAAAAATTAAATTAAATTAAATTAAAATAAATTCAATTCAATTTAAGTTCAATTAAAATATATTAAATTAAATTAAATTAAAATTAAGTTAAAAATAAAAATAAAAATTTATTAAAAAAAACTTTTGCATTAAGCACATTTTATTATCAAGATTACAATGTGGCTAGGTGATTTACTTTCTATTTCAAATAATAACAGATTACTTGTATACATGAATACATATATAAACAATAGATCTTTTATTCCTATCATTTATTCCTATAGATATTTCTTATTATCTTATTTATTTCAATCTATCTGTATAGATTATTAGTGAGAAATAAAGTACATTTTCTTGACAGATTTTAGATTTGATACATTCCTAATTGACAAATACTAAAATGACTGAAAAATATCAGTGTACATATAAATATACAGAGGATCCACAGTCAATTTTTGTGTTTAATGATGTCTAAAACTATTAAGTCTAAATATTTTTACAATCATTAATTTGCAGTGTAAGTAATTCTGACATTTTGCAGCTAACATTTCACATTCTTGTCTTTTTCTCTTTGTGCAGATGTACAGCGCTTTACACTTTTAGACACTGGTCATTTACTTATTTAAGGTTTTAATTAATTAATTAATTTTTTTTATGAATTTATTTGTCATGAACAGAAACATTAAACGTAAATGAAACAGAAATGACACTATGCATGTACCATAAAGCTTTTCTCTTACCAGGAAGCACATGAAGTCAAGCGCGAGGACGGTGGGAACCCCTCCGAAGGGCAGCCCCTGCAGGACAGTACTGCGGATACGGGCCGAGTAACAGTAGTCTTTGGAAGTGCTGTTGTTTTGGCAGTGGGGCTGACCCGAACAGGCCAGGTTCCCGAAAATCCCCATCGTCACGATCAGATCAGTTTCACCACAATCACTGCAAGATCATGATGAAGAATCTGAGGAGGAGAAAACACCACATCAATTCATATACTGTCAAAATGATGCGCCCTCCTGTGAATTTGCCAAATATTTCCCAAATGATGTTTAACAGAGGAAGGAAATTTTCACAGTATGTCTGATAATATTTTTTCTTCTGGAGAAAGTCTTACTTTGTTTTTTTTTGGCTGGAATAAAAGCAGTTTTTAATTGTTTTAAAACTATTTTAAGGTCAATATTATTAGCCCCCTTAAGCAATATTTGTTTTGCTTTGTCTCCAGAACAAACCACTGTTATACAATGTAGAGCTGCACAATTAATCGAAAACAGATTGCGATCTCAATTCGACCCCCTAGACGATCTTAATCCAGCAATTCTGCCAATCATATTTTCAATTTCAGGAGATAAGAAAAGGCTTTCACATACATTGCTCTGCGACTCTGACACCTCCAAATGATGTTAAAAGAGTCCCATACTGTATTTATAAGGTATAATTCACCCAAAAATGTCATTTTTGTCTTCATATAATGCTGTATTCGAAGTGCGTGTGTCTCCTTTAGTGAACAGAACCTGCAAATGCTGTGAGTAACAGGTAATAAAGTTGTAAATAATATTGAGTTTGTGGCACAGAGTGATCGTTTGAGAGCCGCACGTGAAGTATCAACAGCACTTAGCAGTAAAAATGAAACCAAAAGCGTGCACATCATTAACATAATCATATCGCATTTTAGAGTTCTGACTGCGACAAGCATTTAATGTTTTTTCTTTCATAGCGAACACACAGTTGTGCATGAAAATAAATGTTTACAGTGTCAGTATAACTACTCTAGCCTATATAATGTTGATTTTACCAGTGAATTAAATGGTCTAATAATGTTGTCAATGACTGCAAGCATATCTGTAGGCCTAAATCTCAAACATAATAATTCAACATCAGAATTATTATAAGTAGAATAGAATTATTCATAGAAACCAGAAGACCTACACATAATATTAATATTGTTTTACCTCATATTTGAGAAAAAAACAATAATAATTGCCAACTCAAATTAGGCTTTATTTTACATCTACAGAATCGTGAGAAAATCGTGATCTTAATTTTAAGCAAAAAAATAATAATTGCAATTCTCATTTTAGCCAGAATCGTGCAGCTCTAATACAATGACTTGCCTAATTACTCTAATTTTACCCTAATTAACCCAGTTAAGCCTTTAAATGTCACTTTACGCTGAATTACTTATACTTTCCTTCTTAGACTTTACAGACCTGAAACTTGCCTATAGCACTTATTCATTGTTGCTGTTATAGTTGTGTAAATTGCTTCCTTGTCCTCATTTGTCAAGCGTCTGCTAAATGACTAAATGTAAATGTAAATATAGTGTCTTGAAGAACTTAAGAAATCACAGTAGAAAAAAAGTTTTTCGCTTTTTAAAAAAAATTAAAATTTATATATATATATATATATATATACACTTATAAATATATTAATATATATTAATAATGTGTAAATATACTATATATGAGCAATATCACACGAGTAGCAGCGAGATATGGCTGTATATTGGCACTGGGGGGTGGCATGCGTTAGTTAGTGCCCCCACCAGTGCCGATATACAGCCATATCGCACTGCTACTCGTGTGATATTGCGTTTATACAACAGTTTGACGGCATAATTGTGTATATAAAAACAAAATCAAACATGGAGAGCCTCAAAAACCCTTTTGTATGAGGAACTACTTTCTTCCGTGTTGGATTCAAATCGTAAGCTGACAGTTAAACAGCTGAGCAAGCGTCTTTTATACTTTAGATCTGTAGTGTCTGCTTATTGCTGGCTGTATGTGGGCGGAGTAATACACAAAGGGTAAAGAGGCTGTACGGATGCTGATATTACTAAAATATATCACGGCTATCAGCCAATCAGATTTGAGAACCAGACAGAACTGTTGTATAAAAATAAATATATATTTTGTTCAACAGAAAAAACAAAAACTCAAAGGTTTATAACCACTTAATGGTGAGTAAATAGTGAGTAAATTTTTGTAAAAAAAAAAGTTTCCATTTTTGCTTGAACTATCTCTTTAAATTGTTGGTTGGTATTCAAATGTTTCTGTCGTGTCATGTTGCATTGCGTTTGGTACGGACAGACAAATTGCTTATTGCTGCAATTGTTTTCTTTATTAATCAGGAATAATTTAGCCACAGCAGATTGAACCGTCAACTTATCCAGCATATGTTTTGCACAGCAAATGCCCTTTCAGCCGGCCCCTTTACTTGGAAACACCCATTAACACTCATTTACACACACTCGTACACCACGGTCAATTTTAGCTTACTTAATTCTCCAATAGCGCACATGTTTGGACCATGGAGGAACCACGGAGAACCCGGAGGAAACCCACGCCAACACGGGAAGAACATGCAAACTCCACACAGTAATGCCAATTCCCCCAGCCGAGGCTCAAACCAGTGACCTTCTTGCTGTGAGGCCACAGTGCTAACCACTGATCCACCGTGCCGCCACAGTCAAGGTCATTTTTATATTTTTTTGTGCATAGCATTGTCAGTCTGACAGCAGATCGTCATCATCCTCTGTTCAGCACTGAGACAACAAGCAGATCTGAAAGCATCCCATCATCTGCTATTCTCCTCACACTGGGCGCTGGTTATATAATACGAGTTTCTGACGCAACGGAAACACTAGACGGCCGTTTGATGAGCGTCCAAACACTCTGCTCCTGTGAATCATCCAGCGCTCACCTGCTCTCACACACACTTTCCCTGCAGAACGGGGCAATCTGTCACACACTCTCACACACACACACACACACACTAAAAACAGACACTAAAATTCATGAGCACAGAGGAGTTTGTGGTGCTTGTGTGGGTGTTTCTGACTGAAGGAAGATGCTTGTTAAACTGCTTGTTGTGCATCTGAACTAGGACTGAACAATAAATCGACAAAATTGCTTTTGCATTTCAGTAAAAGCCACGACCGAAAACCAAAAACAGTGTTAAAAAAAACCGAGGTATGTATTGAACCGTGGGCTAACTGTGTTGTTGCATTCCTAACAGAGCAAGTGGCACAGAAACACATGAGCAGTAATCCTGAGAAGTCGTGGATCTCCATGTCAAACTGACTGAGCTTCATTACAGAGGCAAGACTCTGACACTGACACTGGACAGATGAAGGGCCCTATCATAAACCCGGCGCAGTGTGGCGCAAGGCGTGACGCAGTAGTCTTATGGTAGTTTCAGCTTAGCGCAAGAGTGGTTTTGAGGCGTTGCGCTACGCTGTTTAAATAGCAAATGCATTAGCGCTCATATGTGCGCCCATAGGCGTTCTGGTCTATAAAGGAAGGCGTTCTGAGGCGGACCGCTGGCGCGCTGCTATTTTGAGAAACTATAATAGATTTTTCATTAGACCAAAACTAACCCGGTCTAAACTCCAGCACAGAGTTGTGTCTCGCTTACACACTGCTTAATACACACAAGAGAGCAATAGGCAAATATCTTCACATATGAAAAAATGTAAATATTAAGGATATATATAGGATATAATAAGAATAGATATAGGATATAAATATAAAGGATTAAAATATTACAAAACATATTATTTTCTAGCCGACATAAATATGAAAAATCACTGCTTTTATGTCTTCTTCATCTCGGGAGGCTTTTTCAGTTCATTCATAACAATTTGCTTTTGTATAATGTTATTATTATTAGCAGTATTATTTATTATATCCATATTTATATTCGTTTTATTAAAAACAAGCTTAGATTTGTCCACCTGTCAGGTTTTAGACCATATGGGGCTCAGCATGTGTTTTAGGATATAACTCAGGTGTTTGAACACACTTCGTTATTATTGTTCATTTATTCGTTTGCTGGAAATTAGAACTGAATTTAGAAATAGTTTTGAAACGAATATTTGCGCTTAACAAACAAAAGTATTTATTTATAGGCTAATTGATGTCTGTGCGTAAAGGTTCCCCTATACAAGAGCCAAAGTGAAAGTGATCCATTATCTCTCATTCTCACGCAGTAGATGCTCTGTTTAACAGTTTTCTATAAAACTGTTAACTGTTTGCTTGTGAAATGCTCATTTTTTCCACTTAGACTTACTTTACGTCCTGTAAATAGTGAATGCACTCTTGGCGCGACGCAGCTGACTCTTAAAGGGAATGGGAGATGAGACTCTGATTGGTTTATTCTTAAAACACACCTATAACTCATTAAGAAAATAAACTCAACCCTTTTAGACCATGCGCCGAAGCGCAAGGCAGATTCCCCGTCCTTAAATTAGCAAAAACGCCCTTAAAGCGTTTGCGCATGGACTGTCAAAATAGAGCCCGAAGAGTTTCTATCTGGATCAGACACTCCTTTTCGACTCCAAAACCATTTCAACTGCATAATATATCGTTTTCAGCATCAATATCATAATATCATAATCTGCAATAGAACAATTACATGCAAACATCAACCTTGCCATGCAAAAATAAATGGAGTTTTCACCAAAATATTGAAACCCTTTTTAAGTTGTGTGTAGTACGGTAAAAATACTCAAAAAATTTTCTGTCACCGTCCATCGTACAGATTGGTCAACATCGCTCAACCCTATTGTCAGTGTTTTCAAACAATTATATTTGATTGATCAAAGTCACACTAGGGCTGTGTATTGGCAAGGGCCTCACGATACGATACATATCACGATACACGGGTCACGATACAATATATCACGATGTATTGCAATAAAATAAATATTGTGATAATAGTTTGTATTAGTATGTGTGTCATTATATTGACAGCTTGATAAAGTCAGCAGACGAATTAAAATTCCAATTCCAATTTTTGAGATTTGCAAAGCCTGCAAATGGCGTATGTGTGTGTAATTCCATATTCCCTGGTATAGTGTAAAAACCAAAGTGCAGCCACACGTCAGCCCTAAAAGCTGGAGGCGCCTTTATATTTTCCAGCATGCTCACTCTTGCTTACTTTTGATACCGTACTGCTTAGCGT